CCTGATTCTGAAAATATTGAGCTAATTAATGTGGTTGGGTTTTGTACAGATGACAGCCTTAATATGAACAACATTTATGACAAACCTACAGAAACAGTGCCTGGGGCAACTGATCATTAAAAAAAGTATTTGTTAAGCATTACTCAGTCTTGGTTCTGAATTAATAAATAAAGGATTAAGGAGTAGTTATGTGAGACTTTAAGTATAGAGTGATAAAACAAACTCCTGCATTTCTATGGTGTATATTTTATCCTAACTAGATGCAATTTACTTAAATAAGGCAATTTAATCAGTATTTAGTACATTTGTCATTTGATATTGTAGAATCTTTCATCATATTTCACTTTAATCAAGAAAGGTAACACCTGTGGTTTATTCACAAAAGCGCCTTTTGTTAAATGAACACCCGCAGGCCATGAAGCAATTACATTTGTTGCTTGTACCAAAGTGGGAGGCACTTAAATAGACCTTAGTAGGGATAGATGAGAACTTGCAGACTTTATTCTTTTGTCCAGCACTGAGATTAGTTCTTATCATAGCTCAAGAAGGAAGCCTCTGAACTGAAAAGATGGGAATTATTTAAAGTTCTTCTTAAGTTGGAAACTTTGATATTGCTGGAGGTGATGTGAATACCTGTGACCTTACAAAAGTTCAAACGTCTACTCCCAGCTGATTGTATGTGCTGATGTTTTTGGAGATTGCAAGACATTCATGTTTATAAGTGCCCTAAAATCACTAGCAAATGCTCTCTCGAAACAAAAACCCCAAACCACAGAAGCCTGTTTTCAGTTAGCTGTTTGGGGGTATTTTTGAGGCAGATAATTTAGTTCTGTTGGCTTTATTTGCAATACATGAGTTTCCTAATATTTTAGTTAATGCAGCACAGGGTTCTTATCTCTTGGGTTTGAAGATAATTGAGTAATCAACTAAAAAAGTTTGGCATCATGCAAAGAGACCAAAATAATATAATTATTTGATGATTCCCCCCCTTTAAGTAAATGAATGTTTTATGCTGGTGAGTATGCATCAAATGCCTGCCCTGTACTTCAGTTCTGCCACTGCGTAAACTCCAACAGCTCTGCAAATTTTGCCAGTTTGATGCAGTGGAAGATGTTTATTTGGGGTGAAAGAGAATGAACTTGTGCTTCCAGCTCAGTTGTTCCCAAGGGTAGTCTTGTTCTTCTGATCTAGAGCTTGGAGAGGGAGCAGAGGGAGCAGGGTTGTGTCTGATGGTGTCTTTCATTGTCACACTTTGAAGCAGCACTGCAGATAACCGGTTCTGCCTGAGAACAAGGGAGGTAAATCCTCGGATAATCTGCACGGAGCAGGGCCACAGGGGCTGCCGAGGCAGAGGGAGTTGCCTGCAGACAGTCAGAGGCAGCGTTTGTTTCACAGCAGCCTGCACTGCTCAGGAGTTGCTGGTTCTGCAGAGTCCCACTCCCACTATTGTATGTTCTGTGAAAATTCAGCTGCTGGGCGTGTGAGACTTTCCCATCTTTAGTTCTGGCCTGTGTGCAGCGAGATCAGTGATGCTGCCCAGCCCAGGGCAATGCTTTTACCCCTCATCAGTGTGGGTTTGCAGTCACTGGCCCTCTGTGTAGAGGGAACTGTGATTTCAGTGGCACTTCTTGGGTGTAGTTACCTTTGTCTAAGAGGTCCACTGCCTGTAGATTCCAAAATGTGATCCTGTGAGCTGTCACACAAGTGGCTTTCCTGATGCCTTGGGGTTTTTGGCAGCAGCAGCCCATTGCTGTGCAATTAATACATTCTTACTAAAAATACATTCTTACTAAAAATACTAAAAATTCTTTTTCTTTGGTGAATATTATTCCCAACTAGTGTGCTTGCAGAGCTTTGCAGTGTTTCAGATTGGGTCCTGGCCTCTGATACTCGAAGTGAACTATTCCCTGTGAGTAATCCCACTGAGATCAGTGGTGTGGTGTACACATGGCTTGGTGCACAGAGGAGGATTCTGGCACTGATCTTTATTTCAAAGGGGTTTATACTACTTTTGTAATTTATTTTTTTAAATTAATGATTATGGCCTGTCACTGGTATTTGGTTTTACATTTTCCTGTAATTCTTGTGATTTTTATTGCTTGACTTCATTCTAGGTTGTATTGAAGTGCCTAGATGATGGACAGACACTCTACAAAGGTGCATTATCCCTAGATGAATCACATATTGTGACAGTACTCTTAATGCTAAATTCAGAGGTCTAGGGCCCAGTCATACCTTCCAGGGAGAGCTATAAAAATTACTTTAAGTGGTGAATTTCAGGATGTAGGAGGACGCTTTTCTGCAAATGTTCTGCCTGGAATGCAAACTGTGAACATCTTGTCTAGACAAATAATTATTCCTAGTACTGGAAGCAGTTTTATGCTGTTGCAGGCAAAAGCAATTTATTTTATTTTTTGTCATTTTGGAGCTTGGTGGAAATATGGGAAGTGTTCTAGAAAGCTTTTGGATATACTTGAGTCACGAGTGGTTCTTTATTTTACACAGTAAAAGATGGGCATCACATTCTGCCTGTGAATTGGGAGAAGTGAGAAAGCAGAGGAACCAGAACAACACAAGGGGAGCTGGCAGGCAAGCAGGAGCACATTGCAAGAAGTGATGCTTTTGCAGCAACATGAAATGTTAGCGTGGCTTTACTTTCTATATCTTAGTGCTTCCAGCTTGTCCTGTTTGTTTGCTGAGGGAGTCTGTCACAGGGACAGCAGTTTGGTGTCTGACTCGTTATTCCAGTAGGTGCTGGACAGGGGAGTTTGCGCTAGCAAGGTCTTGTTACTTCCACAAGAGAAACAAACTCATGTGTGAGTGTGGACACAGGGAGTGCTTTGGGTGGGTCCACTGAACTAAGTGACCACGAACATCCAACTAGCCTGCTGGACATCTTGGTCAGGCTGTGCTCCATGGAATCTCTGAGGAGAACAGCAGTGACAGCACATGCTCAAACAGAGACCTATCAAAAACACAAGATGCATATTCTACACAGGTCGTTTGACTCCAGATAGAAGCTTTTAAAATGTATAAATTGACTTCTGGTTGGTTTTTTTTGTTTGCAAAGCTGCTTGGGTAGGAGGAGGGCCAAAGTCATCTAGCTGGAACCAGCTGGCCTTCCCAGAGGAAACCCTTTGGTGCATGTGCCAGGAATCTGATCAGCCTTCCAAACAACAAAGGTGACAGACAAGCTGAATAGGGAATTCCTGTCTGGAAGGACTAGGAGAACAAGCAGTAGAGGAGCTTGGCTGAAGCAGTGGATCAGTTAAAGACAAAGGAGGTGGCAGTCCTTTATACCTGTGGCAGGAGATGGTACCAGTGGGTTTCAAAAGGGCTTAGACATTGCTGGTCCCGTACTGAAATGCTGAGGGCAGGCTTTGTGCCCTCTGACACCCACAGCACCTTTCCTGGTGCCACAGGAATACAGGGCTGCTTGGGAGGGATGGACAGGCTCACAGATGCTTTCTGCAGTGTGTTTCATTCTGCCCAAGTGACCTGTTGTGTCTCAATCCACAGCTGGCACATTTGCCACGGCTCAGCAGAAGGGCTGTGGCAGCAGAGTGCCAGCCTGGGATGCTGGTGACAGGCATGTGGCAGCATGGCTAAGCAAGAGCCTCACATTAAAGCCCAGGTTCCAGGGAGTGTTACCTGGCCAGACACCTACAAGTACCACCTGCAGCTTCCTCCAGTGGGGGACCTGCATTTGTTCTTACTGGTTTACAGCCAGCCTTTACTTTAGAGTGGTATTTCACTTTGTTTCATCTGTTACCCATGAACTCCCTCTTATGCAGACTATTTTGTTTAGAGACTGCATGGCTCAATTCTAAAACATTCATGCTACTCTTACTTTGAGTTTCACTTGAAATTGTTTATTTATTTAGTTAGTTTCCATATGTTTTTCCTCTGAATTGTGGTTGTAGTAATATTTCAAGTAGATACTTCATAGTAATGTTTCAAGTCCATACTTGGTTTTGGAAAAATGTATGTTAGTTTAAAGTCCATATTAAATATCCTCTAGATTGAGAATATGTTGCTTCATTTAAATTTTCAGCCTGGTTTAAAATTTTAGAAACAAGACCCAATTAGAAACATCATTATTATTTGGTAACTTTAAAGAGGTCATTTGTATCTGAAAAATTTTTAAGAAAATGTTACAAAATAGTATTGTGTATGTTCCAAGTAGATATCTTAGTTTAAGACTTGCAGGAGCAAATTTTTCACATATGAAAGCTTCATACTCTCATGTAGGTAACTATTACAGCTATGTTGCTATTTCTCATTTTGTCATTGAGTCAGCCAGTGAATGCCATGAATCTGTGGTATGTAATATAGTTAATGCATAATATATATGGGCAATGAAAGGTCTTTGTCATATAGTATAAGGTCACCATCATTAATTTTCAAATTATAAAAAGGGATTTGCTGTTTTGTGATCATCATTATTGCAATATAATGTGTTGTGGATTCTGCCTGCACATAGAATGAACTGTGATCTTAATTAGAACTTTGACAAGCCTACTTCGATAAAATGATGAGATTATTCGTAATTGATGTCACAATCAATTACCAGTTAGTTCATCATGAATCTACTAACAGGTCTAGCCTTGGTGCTGGCCCCAGGATGTTGATGAGTGTGTGGCTGCCCTGTTCATGCTGTTACTGCGACAGGAGGGCAGATTTTCAGTCAACATCCTAATGACCTCTTTTGAAGTCTATTAAATTAATGACCCTGTCACATTGGTCTAACCTCTTGCATCTTCATTTTGGGTTTTTTGTTGCAAACCATTGGTTTTTGAGCACATGATAGAACAGATACTTTGGAGCACTCCTTCTCATCCCTCTAAATCTGCCAGTGTGTCTTACTAGACTCAATAAAATTTAGTTCATTACACAGTCATGAAACACAGAGCACAGAAATCAGGAAAAACACTGTAAGGCAAACTGTGCTTAACACCATTCTGTTCTGGTTTCTTTTTACATTTCAATCTTGCTTATAGGTGCCTAAAGGACACGTGTGGTTAGAAGGTGATAATCTCAGGAATTCTACAGATTCCAGGTGCTACGGACCTGTTCCTTATGGGCTGATAAGAGGACGCATTTGTCTTAAGGTATGTGAATTTCTACTATCTAAAAATAGTTGCATTAATACATTTTTAATGAGTGGGTGTTAGGTACTGAAATTTGTCTCCCCAGCTGCCTGGCCAAAGCAAATGTAAAGGAAAGCATGAACACTCCACCACCTGCTGCAAAAAGATAAATCAATAGTGACGGGGTTTTTGGAGGGAGGACTTTGGAGCAGCACTGAGCAGTTTTCACTGCTATGAAAATGGAATGAATTGTTTTGCAAGCAAATCCAAACATGATAAAACCACAAATGTACACACATACGCCCTGCTGCACAGATGTACATTTCATTCTTTGATTCTCTCTGCAAAATGATTTTTCACTGTTGTAGCTCTGTGGTCCAAAGAACAAAATGAAGGAAAAGATTCTCTCTCCAGGACTTGCACACATACTTTGGACATGTAGCCTGGTCTTGCTGCTTTTTAAACTAAAAAATGCTTTGAAAGAATATTGTACTGTATAAATGATCACGCTTTCTTCTCCTTTTGCTTCAACAATTCTACAACTTCATTTCACACTGAATTTTTTTTAATATTATCTGCATTACTAATTTACTCTTTTACCAAAAAGAAGAAACATAACACAATTTCCTCTCCATAAAAAGTTTAATCTAAGAAATGTGGGGGTGTGTGTTACACACTTATGCATCTGCTTTAAGAAAGCTGGATTTAAAGTTGTGCATCCAGAACAATAAAAAAGGTTTTCTCCACGTACTTCAAGACATCCACAAACCCATAATTTAACACACCTGTGTTGCACAGGGAAGATTAGATCTTTCCAATTTAACAAAACCTTATATCCTTAATTTACAGTATTTATGAACACAATTTGGGACTTAAAAAATCCCCAAACCCTTGCAGCTTTGAGCACAAGCAGTAATTTCTTTCTAAACCTCAGACAACAGGCCTCCCTCAGCCTCACCCAAATTTTGGGTGACCTCTGTTCCTCCTGGCTCACATTTGCTCTGAGTTCTTCCCTGGTGTTTACTCAGGGCTCTGCCCCTTCTCCTGCTGTCTGCCTTGCCCTGGACACCAGAGGGGAAAATGCTGGTTCCCAACAGGGTTATTTTTATGACCCAAGTTTTAGCTTGAATTATTGACTGCTAAGATACAAAGGATGCTAATCTGCTGACACTCCTCTAATGAGAATGCAACTGAAAAAAGCATTTCTCCTAGCTGATGCACAGGTATAAAAGCTGCTGCTGTTTACTGCTTTAATGTTAGGAAATACTGGATATATGAAGAACCTGTGTGTATGGACAGCCAGAACTAGTCACAGTATCTCTCCATAGCAATACAATTTGTGTCCAGCTTGTGTCCTGACAAGGAAGGTGTTTGAAAGACTTAATGAAGTGACTGACAGGACTGAACCCTAAGTAAACTGTACAATGAGTGGAACTCACACACAGATAATTCATATTGAAACACTACTTTAGGGACTCCAGAACATTGTCTGTTAAAAAAAATATTATGCAATCACTTGATACTTAATCAAAATAATTTAACCAGATTCCACAGCAGTTGTTTAATGACAGTGGCGTAGAGTAGTGATTATTCAAGTTTTTGTGAGATTTAAGTATATAGTGCCTAATAAAACCAAAAATTAATTTGTTCTCCAAATTCATGTTTCTAGTGTGGTTCTTTATGATACCTCACATGAGCACACAGTGATGTTGCTCCTGTGTGTTGCTGCTGTACACTGCAGTGCAGGGCAGCAGGTACAGACTGCACAGGGCTGGCTGGCCACTGGCCAGGAAACCTCCGAGTGCTTTTAATGCAGCCTGCTGCAGCTTTGGCTTCTCTTCCATCCAACAGATTTTACTGCCTTCAGAATGGAAGTTTTTGTGGCTTTGTCTTACAGTGGATTTTGGAGAAGCAGGTGTAACAGTGCCTTTCAGTGCTAAGTTACTTTTATTTTGGTAAAAAAAACCCAAATATAATTTGGAAGTCACGGATTTCAACAGAAGAGAGTGACCTTAGCCAACCTAGCTGGCTGAATTTGTTTAGCCAATCTATTCTTGGCAAAACATAAATGTTTGTCTGAAGTTCAGACCGAGGGTTCTCAGTCAGTGTTGGTGCAGCAGTTTTTAACCCTTACAGAAATACCAACACCTGATTCTTGTCCTGCCACTCCAAACACAAGATCATGCCATAAAGGGTTGCTGAAATCAAAGCAGCTGCAAATTCAGGAAAAGCACTGGGAATCCCACTTAGACAGAACTCGTGCTTCATCCTGTCCTAGGTAGGATATCCTGTGCATCTCTGGGCTTAGGCTCCATGTCAGAACTAGACCTGTGATGTATCTTCAAAAGAGCTAGTTAGCCCCATTTATGCCCTGTCCATCAGATCAAATCTATCTATGTGGGCCAAAGCAGAGAGGGCAAAGAGCTGCTAATTGGAAGAGCCAGTCTGAATGAGCAAGTCACAGTCAACTTCTGTCAGAACTTTAAAAGTGAGTGGCATGTCTTTGTTTCACAGAGGAGGGCTTTCCATCTCTTTCCAACCACCAGTATTGTTTCTCAGGTTCTCCCTGCATGCAGACTAGGTAAAACATCATTTTCATTCTAACTCTACCACTAAGATTACTGTGACAAATTTCAAACTACGCTGTCAAAGCAACATTTAAAGCTAATTTGATTACTTTCACTGAAAGAAAGTCAAGTTGCAGTAGGTGTGATTTGTACTGGAGTGAACAGACAAAAAAACTTCCTTCTCCAGGCCTTTACTGAGATCAGCTTCAATTTGTTATATGGGATAGTTTTCTTTCCTTCTGCTTGCCTTCAGGGCCAAACAAAGACTTGACACCCAGCCTGCAGCCAGCACAGGCCCTCTGGACAGCTTTGAATTCTGCAGCTTTGCTGCTAACCAAGATCACAAATACCTTTCTGTTGTTGGCTTGTATCTGTACTTTTGTGAGGAGCTTAAAATAGCGCACCGGCTGATCAGCACAGAGACATCACCTCTGTGGTTCTGTGTCAGCAGCTGTTCCTCGTGCTCCTCTCTGACTGCACATGCCAGAGCCACAAGAATTGTCTGAGATCTTGCACAAGAGCCTTTTCCTGATGCACACAACTGGAGGTCCTGAGCATGATTCTCCTTCTGCCTTCCCGATGGGGCACAGTGCTGCCAGGGGCTGCCAGGAGCCTGGAGAGGGCACAGCCCCAGCCAGGAGAGAGCTGCTGCTGCCTCCTGCCAGGCCTGTCCTGAGCTGCCTCAGCCTCTCCTGGCACAGCCCTTGGTGCTGGGGACAAACCACAGGGGTAGAAATAACTGAGCCTTTGCCTGTGCTTCTCTTTTAAATGACACTCTTTTACTCCACACAGGCAGCAGCAAAGACTCCTTCTGTGCTCTGGCTGCTCCATGAACTCAGAGGTGCTGTTAGGTTGCTGTTGTTATACCTTAAGACCAGATTCTAAGGACAATTTAGCGAGATAACCAAAATACTGACAGATGCTTTGAGAACAAGGTAGCAGTCCACCTTTCTCTGTCTAGGCTGCTTCATCTTGGGCAGGAGCTGTGAAATTTTTATGGGCTTAGAGCCACAGAGGGCATTGATTCTTCAGCATCATCTTTCTCTTCTTCCTGCTGAGCCCCTTGTGTCATCTTTGAAAGAGACGGAGACATTCAAGGGAGACAAAGGACAATGAGTGAATGAATGTCCTTGCTTTACTATTACCTTTTTTTTGCATCCAAGACCATCCTACGTGTAATGAATGACTGTGCAGAGCCAAGTACTCCTGGGAGCATTGAGTACATGAACAGCTCTACAGGTAATTTCTGGAGAGATTTGTTTATTGGTCAGCATCACTCTCTGACACCTGTACTTGGTGATGAGTTGTGCTCTTTTGGAAATAACTGTCCCTTCTGAGAGGAGCCTCATCCAGAGCCTGGGTGGTGGCAGGCACTCCACCCCTTCATTCCTGTTTGTTTAAGTTTGTTTAAGTTTGCCTGTAGCCAACAGATCTTTTTTTCCAAGGTTTGGTATTTCCAGTTCAAAGGCACATCTTGAAAATACAAATAAAATAAAAATACACCTCACCATGGCGAGGTACATGTGAGTGATACTTTTTTCTCCTAGATGGACCAAAAAACACTTACCTTGTCTTTAAAGTCATTAAGAGTTTTACAAGCTAGAAAACACCGAATTGGAAAGACACTCTTTAGGAACATATTTATTTCCAAGGGTGAAAAAAGCAATTGAATTCATGAGGCTCTCCATAGCAAAGCATATCTCCTGTATAAATTGCAAAATTCACACTATGGAATGATTCCCTGTAATACACAGGATTTATTAATCCTAGTAAGAGAAGCACTTCAGTGAGCAAAGTTCTTTACCACAGAGAGAAAAAATTATAAAGAAAATTAAGAGGAAAAAAAGTTATTACATTATGAAACAATTCCAGTAACAAATGAAAACACTGAACTTTGGATTATGATTAAATCTCTTGTAACTTGTGCTTTATTTTACAGATATGGCCTCTGAATGACTTTGGATTTCTACGTGCAAGCCCCAATGGCCACAGATTTCTTGATGATTAAAAGACTTAAGTACTATTGACAGTTTGCATAGTATTTTATACTAAAACCAATGGAACTATTTTTGTTTAGAATAAACACAAATATTACTTGACAAAGATATCTTTTTCTGAGATTACACCTAACTTCAGAAGTGGGAATGATACACTTGTGTCATCAACAAAAGTTATGTGCCTGCCATCAGCAGGTGGTGCCAGGGCTGGCACTGAACACAGCCCCAGTGGGGCTCCAGACCTGCTGGTCACTCCCAGGAGTGCTGTGGGGTTTCCTGGCTGCCCAGTGGGGTCAGAGCACAGCTTCCTCCTTAGCTTTCCTCTCAGGAATGATGACTCCATTTGTTCTGACGTGAGAGCCTCAACTCAACACGTGCTCCTGCTCCAGGCTGCCCAGGTGATGGCACTGTCACAGGGCAGGGACAGCCACTGCTTCCAGCTGCCAGCCTTTGCCTCCTCCTTCTAGGCTCCAGCCCTTGAGAGGATTTTATGAACTTAAACATTTAGCTTACAAATAGAAAACGTTCCTGTTTCCCACTGCTGAACCTTGCTCTTCATTATCTTCAAAGCGTTCTCACATCTGTGCCTCGTGATTGAATTTTGTCATCTGAGCTGTTAAAAGGATTTAACCTAAGAAGAAGGGCTCAAGAGCTGCTTCAGTCTGAAATTGGAAGAAGCTACTCTGTTGTTTGCTGGGAAAGAAACCTTTAGGTCAGGAGATCCATTCCAGTTGTACAAACTCCTGCTCTGGGCTGGAGGTGTGGAGCAATGAGCTCTTCAGCTGCAGAAGGAGAACCCCAGCCTCATGTCTGCAGAGCTGTGTGAGCAAAGGGGCACGTGTCCTTTTTAACCCTGAATGAACTTGTTCTTGTAGTGCCCCCTTTTTCTTGAACATACATTTCTTCAGCAGGTCCTGTCACTTGTTTGTCCAGTCTTTTGAAACGTTTGTCACTCTCAATGTGCTTCACTGAAACAATCATTGCAGGATCTCGATAACAAGTGAACATGTGTCACAACAAACCAAAGATACATCTTTGGTTTCACTCTTGGAGACACTGTAATTCCCACCACATCGACAGGACAGAGTGTAGAGTTGTTCATCTGCCAAAAAAGAAAACAAAAACACCTTTAGTGCTGGAGAAGAATCAAGAATTTACTTGGACTTTTCTTCACAAAGCTTCTCTTAGTAACAAATCACCTCCCACTGCTGGGTTGTAAGTATCAGTATCTGTGCTACCATTTGTAGCTCAAAAAATAATCTCAAAATGTTTCAGTGATTGAGGTATTCTTACACTAAACAACCAGGGCTAATGGAGTCTCTTCAAAAAAAAAACAAAAACAAAAACTTCAGTAATAACAAGGTGCACAGTCTGATGATGCTAAAAGAAAATACTAAGTGGTGTTAGTCATGCAGATCAAGGACGCTTCCAAAACAGGCTGCTAACCCAGGAACCAAAACAGAAGAAACAAAAGTAGGATTTTTTCCCTCACAATTTAAAATAAAAAGAAAAAAAAAAAACCAAAAAAAAACCCCCCAAAAATATCAGCCAGTTATTGTAAAAGCAATTAAACAAGAAAAGCCAGAGCAATAGACAGGAGGGAAGGAACAGTGGCAAATGAAAAATGAAACACAGGCATTCTACCATCATGGGAAGGGCAAGAAGATGCACAAGAGAAATGGGAATGTACTGTCAATTATACAAGAGGAGAGCTGGGTGAAAAGTGGTACTGCAAGTGAGGGTGGGGAGAAGTGTAGATGGAGTGGAAAACAAATGTAACAAAGTTAAATTCCAATCCAGGTAATCTCAGAGAGTAAAACAGCTTTGTCCCAGGAAATACAGCAAAACCAGCACTTAAAGTAAGACAACAATGGTGCAAGATGCAGAAAAAATAGAAAATTCTTTTCTTTATCCTAAGATGGATAAAGAAAATAATTAGGAACCAGCAGCAAGGTACTCATACCTTCATTCCAGGACATGTCCTCCAGATAAATCTGTTCATGAAGTGGCCATTCTTTTGTCAGGTTATCTTCTGTAAAGCAAACATGACAGATGTTCAGTCTTTTCTGAGAAATTAATGGTTTTTATACCTAGCAGTCAATCTGGTCCCTACCAGAGTCCTGCCTAGACCACTGTATCAGTTCAAAATGTAGTTCTCTAAAATTTTAGTTTCTATAGATCTGCATAATCTGGAAAAGGTTCTCTTGTAGTCAGGAGAAAGAAATAAATGGTGACAATGAATTAAGACGCCAAAATCAGCACTTGTGTGAAATGAGGGGCAAACTTCTGTTTTGATGTAGATGCCTTTCAAAACCTGGCTGTAACTCCATAAGCTGAAATGGTGAAGGCCTGCTAACCTGTACTTTTCCGAGATTTGTGGGACAGGTGAGGTCCAAAGGTGAAATGAGGGGCAAACTTCTGTTTTGATGTAGATGCCTTTCAAAACCTGGCTGTAACTCCATAAGCTGAAATGGTGAAGGCCTGCTAACTTTTCCGAGATTTGTACTTTTCCGAGATTTGTGGGACAGTTGAGGTCCAAAGAGACCTCTCAAGATCACCTATCAAAGCCTCCTGCACCCACAGCTGGAGCAAGCTGACCAGGATGGGCAGATTTTAAATGTCTCCACAAATGGAGTATCTCAGTATCTCTCAGGCAACCCCACTCCTAGAGAAGGAAGAAGGAGAAGCCAAATAAAAACCTTCCAGTAAGCACCAAGGGCATGTGTGTGAGAACACCACTGAGATTCCTGCAAAGAAATAAATCCTGCAGAAGAAATAAGTCCTGCAAAAAAACACTTGTAGGGGAAGACCAGTCCAAGTGCTCTTTTATGATAAAGAGTCTCTGAGCACAGAAAGAAAGTCAAGTTCTGGCCTGTACCTGAGAGATCTCTTGCCATTTGATCCCCCAGACTCTTCCAACATTGAGTAGAGCATGAAATGAAAAGTGTACAACATCTACAGGTAACAAAAAACTGAGTTAGAAAACTCGCAGAGCTTCCTTTTTGGAATTATTGAAGCAGGATTTCTCTCAGAACTTTTATAGGATTGGTGGTGGAGGTCTGGGTCGTGCCTCGCTGCTAGAAAGTACAAAAAGGGCAGATGGGCCACCTGAAGAGAACTGGTACAATGCAAATTCATGAGGTTACCATACTTCAAGTAAAGTAACTGTGATTCATAGAACCACAGCATCATTTATGATGAAAACACCTTTAAGATCATTGAGTCCAACCATTAAAGTAATGAAGAAGCAGCTGAGGAAAAGTCTGCTTTCTCTTCTGTTCCAAACATGGTATAATACAAAGCCCAGGGAACAGAACTTCAACAAAGCTTTTCTAATTCATCCCTGCAATTGTAATTTTGAAAATAAAAAAAACACCCCAACCAATGGGCAAAATTAATCCTCCTCACAATTCCCAGGCTGAACAGAGATTGTTATTCCCCATCTGACGCTCAGATCCTGAAGGATCAGGCACAGCATCTCCAGCAGAGCAAGGGAGGGGATTGTCCTGCTCTGCTCTGAGCTGGGGTGGCCTCACCTCGAGTGCTGGGGCAGTTCTGGGTGCCACCATGTAAAAAAGAGATGAGGCCATTAGAGAACATCCAAGGAGGCCACGAGGAAGGTGAAGGGCCCTGAGGGGAAGGCGTGTGAGGAGTGGCTGAGGGCACTGGCTCTGTTCAGCCTGGAGAAGAGGAGACTGAGGTCAGACCTCAAGGTGGCCTTCAACATCCTCACCAGGGGCAGTGGAGGGGCAGGCACTGATCTCTGCTCTGTGTGACAGGGACAGGACTCAGGGAATGGCCTGGAGCTGGGTCAGGGGAGGTTCAGGCTGGATATCAGGAAAAGGTTCCTCACCCAGAGGGTGGCTGGGCACTGAACAGCTCCCCAGGGCAGTGCTCAGCACCAGCCTGGCAGAGCTCAGGAGGTGTTTGGACAATGCTCTCCTGTGCACGGCCATCAGTGATCCCCCTAAGTCCCTTCCAACTCAGTACATTCTATGACTGTGAGTCTATGAAGTCTGAAATCTGGTTATCTCAAAAAATAAAAATTTTCTGTTAGTACTCTTGACTTCCCACATAATCCAGTACCAGCTCTTGTCAGGCAGCTTTGCACACTTCATTTATTTGCCTGTCTGGTTCAAGCAGGAGGAACATTTTCCAGAGATGAACAAAGCTTTTTGATTTTCTAGGTCTCCTACTAAAAACATTACCCAGCCTAATACACCTTGAGGCAGCAGAAACAGAGGTAGCCACTTAAAAACAGAGGCATGGCCCAAGCTGAATTTGCAAGCAGAACATCCAACCCAATGGCTCTCAGATTTCTTGTGCCCTTCCTTATTTCATCTGCATCACTGTTATTACAACCATGGCTCCTTGCTGGTGCTGGTCTGAAGCAAACTGGTGTCCCATTTTCCCTCTCAGCCCCAAGGAGAGTGGGAATGTTCCAGTGCTGAGTTCTGTGATGTCTGCTCAGGCTGGAAAACTCTGTGTACAGAGCTGTCACTTCTGAGACCCACCCTGAACATCCAGGGGGAAATGTGAGCACCAGAACTCATGAAACAAATTTTAATTCCCCAGCGGCAGAGCCTGCCTGACTTTGCCATCTATTGGATTTGTCTGACAACAAGAGGTGAAAGGATTCTGCAGCTCCATTGTCTCAAGTGCAGGATCTAAGAAAACACTGGCAGGCTCATCAGAGAGGTTTATGAGCCTGCAATTCAAAGAGATTAAAAGGAAAAATCTACTGAGATTCTTTCAGGCTACAGAACAACATTAAATAACTATTAGCAGCTTGGTTCAGTAAAGCTTTACTAGAGCCCTTGCTGGGTCATTCAGAAATTGTAAAAGAGGAAAGGTATTTAAGTTTCACTTGGAGATACAATAAATATTTCTTGGGCTATTTAAGGCCGAGTTTTAGGGAAAGGGTTGCAAGCAGTAAATGGAAATTCAACCCTTTCAACAGTTTATGGTTATAGTAAAAATAGTCATAATACTTGAAAGATTTTTCTAGCTCTTTATCAGGCATACATACTTAGGATTGATTTTCTTTTTCAAACCAAACACAATTAAACTTCAAGATATGTACTGTCAGTCAAATACTGTTCACAGTATCTACTCTGCATAAAAATCACCACAGTACTCACTGGATGTTTTCACAAGTTAATTTTTTCGAATAGGCTTTTCAGTTTTAAAACAATTACTTAAATTTGAGTCTTTTCAGACTTTTCTGACTTTTCTGAGTCTTTTCTTAGCTGCTGTCTCAATTTAAAACAATCACACATACTTTAATTTGAAATTTTAACGAAGTCATGTTAAGAATTTTCATAACAAAGAGATATAGAAATACCAAAACAATCCTGCTGCACTTGTTGCAGACGAGATTTAACTCCAGAGAGTTCAAAGGCTTGTGCTCCAGCTGAGGGGCTGCAGCCACAAATCCATGTCTGGAGAAGCAATATCCACTTCTGTCACACACACAGCATAACCTGGCACACTGCAAACCACTGCTACTGTCAGCAAAGGCTGCATTAATGACCAGGTATTACAAAATGAGCTGGTTTAGGCTAAGGACAACTTTTTGTTGTACTGCCCAGAGCAGCTTGAGAATCTCCACCCTTGGAGATACGAAAGCCAACTGACTATGAGGACTGGCTTTAGGTGGGGGATTGATCTTCACAGGATGGCCTGGGAAGGTCTCTTCCAGCCTCTGTGATTCTCTGATTCTGTGAGAAGTTTTTCTTCTTTTCAGCTGTGTCACAAAAGCATGAACTTTCAGGGTTCAGGTGATTTCTAATGTGAAAAATGTGAAACAGGTTTTATCCACACTAAATACTTTTGGTCATTATCAGAGTCAAGCTTGATTTTAACTGCATATTCATCTTTTTAAAGTGGGATATCAAACAAATAATGGAAAAATCAAAGAAGAAAATCTATTGACAAAAAAGCCCCAAGTCTATTCTACATATGTAAATTGTTATGCAGATTTTTTTTTTCCATCCCCAAATTCTTCATACTTAAAGCAAAAGATTCATCATCATAAAAAGGTATTCTTATATGACAAAACAATGAATTGGAAAAAAATTCAGGAAACATACAAAAAGGCAGTTCTTATAAGATTTCCAGATCAGAAAAAATTGGATAAGTATTTGAGTCTAACCTCTGAACAGTTTGTGGTTTGTCCCTTCCCCTTTAATGCTATGGCCTGAAGGCACAAAAAATAGGAGATTATTAAGAAACCTTCAGAGAAAAGCAGTATTAAGATATAAAAGCACATTCACTTGTTAGTCTCAAGAATCCAAACAAAAAGAAAATTAAAACCATAGAGCTCCACAGAATTTCACCTTCTTGGAACTTCTCTGGCTACTGACTTTCTGAGCCAAGTCATTAAGATTTAGTAAGTGTAACACAAGAAGGTACATACGAACAAACAATCTGTGAAATGGGGAAAAGACTGCAGTGCAAAGGGATTCCTGCTGGTATCAGGGCAGCCACACTGACACACACACTGGCATCCTTCAGATCCTGCTTCCTGGCCTTCCTCTGCACCTTACTGACTTGCTGTATTATCTCTCTCATCACTATTCCCCTGAGCTGCTGCCTCCATTCCTTTGTTTCTGTCAGCCTTTATGGCAGTGTCTACGAATTTGTCTAGAATCATGGCTTCAGAAGCAGCTTGACAAGCATTCAAAGAAGTAGGATTTATTTCCCCATCATTTTGCTGCCAGGGAACATGCTGGAAGGAATGCAGCAGCACTGCACATGTGTGCCAGGTGTGGCTGAGTCTGAAACACGGGGGCCCTGGGAGTGGCAGCCTCTGTGCTAAAACAGATTGTCCCATCCTCATCCCATCACAAACACCTGCCTCAACAGAGGTACAGTCCCATTCCTTTATTTGCCAAGTCTTTTATATACAGTCTTGAGATGGCTTTTCAAAGAGCTCATCTGGATGCAAAATAATCTCAGAAAATACATAAAATCTTCAAATTACAGTCAAAACTGATTTATAGATTAAGGACATATTTATATGTCCTTAAATCCCAAAGGAAAACAAAATCCTGTTGTAGCTCTCTACTCCAGTGGATGAACCTGACCCAGGCAAAATGGAAATTTATAGTCTGATTTAAGCTTTAGGTAAAACTCACCAAATACTGAAAAGATTCCCATCTTAATCTCTAGTATTTCCTTTTTCCTCTGCACATACAATTTGTGAAAAGAGAAGGCACAGCCAATGTTACAATGGTAAGAGTACAATACCATGAGGGAGGTGGGCAGCAGAAATTCCTGTTCTGACATCACCTTCCGGCATTTAAAAAATAACTTTGAGATGAAAAAAAATATTTCAGTCTGATCTTAAAACTGCTTACATTACAAACAGAACAAGATCCATTTTTTTCCATAAAACACTTTTTCAACGACTGTTTTCAGCCCTCCCCTCTCTTCCCAAAGCCACATGAAGTCTGAAATACAAGTCTATTGTGGTGGTTTTGTATGGGAGGCACTCACAGAAGTGATGAGCCACGAGAAGTGTCCTAAAAGTTTTATTCTGATTATTATTATTCTTTCTTTTGGTTACTGTTAAAAATTTTTCTTTATACCTTTGTAAAGTTTTAGTTTTCTCCTAATCCTATATCAAGGAAATGAGTTAATAAATACACTAGTGATTAACCAACACCAAACCCACCACACTCATTAGTACATTAACAGAGCAGTCTCAAATTAACAAAGCAAACCCACTGCAGTTATTTAAGTGGAGAATTCACCCTGTGTATCTGCAGCACCCTCTTTACCCTGCAGTGATGCCACGGTGCCTTTGTGTCTCGGAGCTGTGGGGAGTTAAAAATCAGCACGAGGGACAGGGGCTGATGGTGTGCCAGGGTACAAAGCAGGAATTCAATAACAAGCTGCACAGACAGTGGCCTTTTATCAGCACATTCCGCAGTGGTGGTGGCTCCACGTCAATGCTGGCCCCAGTGTGTCACTGCAGAGTGCCACCGAGTGTTTTCCCCACGGGCAAGCCACTATTATTGACTCCCCCCATTAACATGGAGGGTGGATATACATTTATTGAAGGTTCTAATGGAAGGCTGAGGGACTCCTATCCTGAGGCCAGAGCAGAAAGACAGCCTATCACTTCATGTAATGGTAGCCCATGTGTGACAGACCTGACCTACATTTCCCCCCTTTCTTTCTCACAACAGCCTGTCACTGTTTTAAGAAGCTATTTTCTGAGAGCTATAAAAAGGAATGCGTGCTAGAGCTGCCTAGTTAATATGTTATATTGAAATATTATTTACAAACCTGCTTCAGAAAGGCTACTTTAGACTGTGGATGAATTATGAACGCTACCTAACACCCACAACGGAAAAGAATGTGTCCTAGTGGTTCTGGTTATAAATCCATACACAAAGAACACTAGGATAGATGGTTTAATGCCTACATCTAAACAACTGCAACAAAATGGAGCATAAAACTTAAAATTAAGAACAATTAATGAAGCTACCTTCATAAAATAAAAAGGGCTAAGGTCTGCAATCAGTATAAATTCCATAATTCAAACTATCAGGAAGAATGCCCCCTAACGTTTTGTTGGAAGCCATTCTGTGTTTTCAGCAGCTGATGTATGTGTAGCTCAAGCTATAAATAATGGATCCACGTCTGAAAGTAGGACAAGAGTGAAAGAAACATTCCGTTCGGCATTTTAAAACACCATCTCACTACCACTCCCAGCCCCTGCTTCTCTAAAGAGCTGCTGCCACTCCAGCACTCCTTGGCAGGAACCTACCACGCTGCTGCAGGTCATACTCTTTTTTTGTCTCCTCGTTGCCCAGAATTTTCCACGCCTGATGGATCTCGATGAACCGCTGCACGCGCTCCTCCGCCGCCGCCGCCGCCACGTCTGCCTCCTGTTTGTCAGGGTGATACTGCCAACCAAAAACAACAGGCACAAAAGGGTCGGGGTGGGAGAGGAGCCGTCAGTACTGCAGCTGATACTCAGCTAGGAGGACAGAGCAAAGGAGAAGGTCTAAGCTGGGGAGCCAGAGGAAGGGAGGTGACGATGCTGGGCACAAGAGGAACCTGCCAATTTAATTATCCCACTGGAATGGCAGCAGAGCCACCAGTGGCACGAGTGTCACCATGTGCACTGACGGCATTTTCTGGATAATTTGCTGATGGAATCACTGGCCTTATGGACAATTTACCTAGAGAGTGACTAGCACAAACAGAAACAGGTACATGCAGGGACAAGAGGAGGTGCTGGAGGTGGCTCTCGTGACACTCCACAGAGCCAAACATGTTTAAACATAAACATAAACACAGATTTAAAATTAAAAAATAAAAATTACAAAATATTTGAACATAAAAACAGCTTTAAACATAAGCACCAATCAGTGGCCTTATGGACAATTTACCTAGAGAGTGACTAGCACAAACAGAAATAGGTACGGGGACCATGACACAGGGACAAGAGGAGGTGCTGGCAGCTCTCAAGACACTCCACAGAGCTAAACATATTTAAACACAAACATAAGCACAGATTTAAAATTTTTTTTAAAAAATTAAAAATATTTAAACATAAACAGAGATTTAAATATAAGCACCAATGTTTAGTTAAAGCTATTACAGATAAATTGAATGCTGCATTACATGTGCCCAGCTTTTTTATGATTTAAATGGTAAATAAAATATACATGATCAAATATAATTTATACTACATGTACTTCTACTTTTGAAAATATGCCTGAACATCTTTAATTTCTTCCAGTTCAGTGAATCAATAGCCCTTCCAAATACTTAAAATCATGGATCACTGGCTACAAAATTGTGTCATTTTAGTTAAGAAACGATTATTCAAGGACATGGTTATTCAAGAAATCCCACGTTAAACAGGCAATAATAATTAAAATTAACACATTTTCTTTCTCATTTGTGCAGAGCAGAGCATTCTGACTTGAGTGGTTCCAATGTCTACTGAAAAGGAACCCTCAAAGCTCCATCTTCCTGTACCTTTAATTCATCTCCAGTAATTTCTTTTCCTGCTATTTTAAATTGCTCAGTAGATGTGATGGAGCAACAGGAAACAGCATTTAACTTGAGAAAGTTCCCATATAATCAGGCCTTTCAGCTGATAACTGTGTCACAGACCAAGTTTTCCCCTATTCTGGAGCTTTAAGTGCCCTTTATACCAACATCAGCTGGGACACTGAAATGCGAAGCGGATTTTAAGATGTACAACACCTTTTCTATAAGTGATTAAGCAGATTTCTCTCTGAGTTTATAATTCATTTTGGAAAGAAAAGAATACTAGTAAGGTGTGTAGTTGACAAAATCCCAAATGTAAAGGAGCACTTCTCCTGCAGTCTGTTTGCTCACGGATGGATCTGTCACTGGCACTGACGGGTGTTACCCACACAAATCCCCTGTGCAACAGCAGGGAGCAAAATGCTTCCACCTCAGGTTTTTTCACTGGTGCTTTTCAGTGGTGTCTTTTCACTGGTGCTTTTGTTTGTACATATGTGAGGTTGGAGGTACATCCACACAAGTGGGTGTACCTCCAGCCTCACACATGTACAAAATCCTGGTTTTGTTCCACTTGAAGTCCCCTCTGCATTCAAGACTGAAGACTATCTTACAGCTTGCTGAAAATACAGCTGAAGAACAGTTGTGATCCATAAAGATTCATCCCTTTTATATCTCCTCAACTGAAGATGACAAAATTCTAGGGTGCAAACAAAACCAAAAAAAGTTGGTCATTGCATGAAGTCATTGTATTCTATATAGATAACTGCTAGATATTTGGATTGGCCACACCTTCTCAGATCAGTTTCTTAGAAATACACAGAAATATTACTGACTGACTGCCCAAAGCAGAGCTAAATACTGGCTTCTCTCCTGCCAACAATGTTGAGGAAACACTCGCACAAAACGGGTCACACTTTCCCTTTGCTGCATCAAAACCTTGTCTGATTGAGAAATGATTCTGAACTATATTGGAACAGCCAAACACAGCAAGCCATACACCACAAAAGTACTGTGGAAAAATAATAATAATCAATGCAGGAAACATTACTCTGTTGATTTCTTCAATAATGCAGAAAATTAATTATTCTTCAGGTTAATCACATAGCCCTTAACACCTTTCCTGCAGATTTGGAAAATTTAGTTTCTGCAGCATATGCAATTTTTATGTTAGAAAGACTACAATTCCATCATCTCCATCGTAAGGGACTTACTCATTAAAATAGGCATCTATATCTATATCTATTTTTTTTCTCTCCATTTGGGTCTCCATGCCTTCTGAACCTATTTGCTCCTTCCCCTCGTGGCCTTTTTCCTCTATTATCACCTAATGCCTTTAGCAAACTACATCTACACTAAGAAAAATCCTCAAACATCAGCTCTTTTATTCTAATACTCCTCTTCTTCTTCTTCTTCTTCTTTTTTATTCCAGTGACCCCATTTCAACTGGGTTCATGTACTTATTGTTATGCTCTTACTGACTTATTTTCCCACTCTCTAGCTTGCTACTCCAAATCCAGGAATTTGTCTGTAGCAAAAACCCACTCTTGATTCAATGCCCTGCTCTTCCCTCTCCAAGAGAGCAAACAAGGTATCCTGTCTCCAGTTGTTTTAGACTCTGTTCAGCCACTCAGACACAGAGGACATTTGAGAAAAGTACTGGAAGTTCAGAGGGAGCACTCTGATGTCAATACTTCACAGAATTCACAGAGTCTCTGGGTTGGAAGAGACCTTCAAGACCATCGAGTCCAACCCAGCCCCAGCACCTCACCTGAACCCTGGCCCCCAGTGCCACATCCAGGCTTTGTTAAACACACCCAGGGATGGTGACTGCACCACCTCCCTGGGCAGCCATTCCAGAACTTCATCACCCTTTCTGGAAAAAACTTTTCCCTTCAGACATAAATCATACACTTCTTTGGGACCTCCCCTCACTCCTAGCTACCAGATCCTTGTCTGATCCTGCTCCCTCTCCAGAGGAGCTGCCTGCAGAAGCAGAGCTGGGGGTTTGGTTTTGTACTGCAGGAGGTGAAATAAGATGGATTTTGGTGATCTCCTCCTCCCCATTCATTGTCATGGTTTTGCATGAGAGACATTTTTATGCGTGGGATGCAGTGAGAAGTATGATTTCCATCCAACTATGAATTACCTTTTTTAAAAAAAAAAAACAATTTTCACAACCTACACTACAAGACCTTCTGGAAGGTGTAAAAAGATGCATATTTATATTAAATAATAAGCACTGATGAAAAGCAATTATTTATAGTGAGGATCAGCTGAATCCAGCTCAGTGGGACTTTTACAGGCCTGAATTTTACACTGGATTTGCAATCTCCTCCTAAATTGTGGAATACACAACTTAATGTGACCACTTAATGTGGACAAATTTTACTCACAGCTGCTTTTCCACATGCCAGATTGAAAAGGCTGGTTATTTAGAAAAGGGTTAAAAAGTGCTAGCCCTTCTTATTTAGTAATTAATACATTACTATGGCTATTTTGCCTTGTGTATAAAGGGTATTCACTCCCAAAACCACAACATGCACCACATCCCTAATTCCCTACATCAAACCAGGAGGCTTCATTTTCTACGAAAGCTACTACTGCTTCCAAATTTTAAATCACTTTTTTTGTAAGTGAAATAAATTTACTACAGTGTATTTTCACAGATAACTGTAAAAGACTCCTCCCCACTGAAATTACAAAACTGTTAAGTAAGCCACTTAAAATGTAAACTTGGTTTTTTTCTGGCTGAGGAAACTGAAGAGAAATCAGTTCTATTTTTTTTTCCAGGATCAAACTAAGGAGTACTCTCTACCTTCTACAGCTTTGTCTTTCCTACTTTCCAATATTTTCTGCAAAGTTGTCAAGCTTTTGCAGAAATCTTCAGCAGAAAATAAAAAGTAATATAAAAAGGACGAATCAAAGGCAGCTGCATTAAATTCTTGACCTTCTCTTCTGAGACAACTATTTTGAAGAAATATTTTCAGATTTTTAAATTTTTATTATACACCATTTAAATCTTTTTCCCCATAGGGGAAACCATTTTTAAGGTTTTAATATTCAAAAGTAATGACAGGCATAGAACAATGATGAAACCACCAGAGCTCAAAAATTAAAGTTAGATTATTCTGGACTTACTATCAGGAGTCATTAAGTAACCATTAAGTAGTGAGTAAAACCAACACTTATAGCACAGTAAATTTCTAAACTACCTGATTTATTAAAGATTTTAAACTCTGAAATCATCTACAGTCTCATGGAGTCACCTTGCTAAATGGAACTGACAAGTTTAGACAAGTCTTGAATTCCTGCTTTATTTCCATAGGGGATGTGTGCCTATATTTGAATAAGGGATATATTTAAAGCTGGAGATGTGCCCTGAGTAAACCAATCTGGTAGGATTTTACCAGAGGATTACTCAGATGCACCAAGTACTTCTACCTCTGAAAGAAAGACATCTAAAGACTAAACCTGACCTTTAAATAAGAGCAAATGATAGAATATTAACATCTCCAATTAACTCAGTAGCTCAGCATTCTTATCCCTTTCTCCATATTGGGCATAGAGTAGTAGTTGCAGTGTTTTTATAGCTAGACACTATTTTATCCAGTGCAGTGAGAATGCATCATTTCCATCCAACTATGAATTACCTTTTTTAAAAAAACGCAATTTTCACAACCTACACTACAACACCTTCTGGAATGTGTAAAAAAGATGTGTATTTATATTAAAAAATAAGCACTGATGAAAGACACTCAGCAACGGTCAGGGAAGAGAAATTCAATCCAAACTTGACAAAGAGAACACAAGGTCCATTTCTGATGAATGAAAGAACTGAATTAAAACTGCAAACAGAAGAGATCCAAGCCACACAAACCTGGTGTGCAAAGGGCTGGATGGA